CCGTGAGGCGCCTGACCGGCACGGGATGCAGGTGGCCCCGCTGCGGGTAGCCCCGCAGGGTGACCACGTTCTCGATCGAGTTGCCGATTGGCATCTGGTGGAAGTCGGGAGTGAAGTGGCGCAGTGAAGTAGGAGAGAGCGTCTCGAGTTCGCGGGTTGCCCCGCTAGCTCGATCGCGGACTGGCTCCGCTCCTCGCAGAGCCGGCGCAACATTGTATTCCACCGTAGTAGTAGTCCACCAAGTTGTGCCGTGGATTACAGGAATCAGAGCGAGAGCCAGCCACACGAGAGTGTAGCCAGCTCCGCTACCAAGTCGAAAACAAGCTGGTAAGCTTAGGTATGTATTACGCCTTAGGCGTTGCCATATCCCAGGCTTAGGCTCATAGCGCATGAGCAAGAGAGCAAGACGAAGCATGGGATCTGGGGTAAAGAGTAGGATGGGCATCGTCAATGGAAAAGGATGTTTTCCGATCTCAGATGCAAGTAGTGCGCCTCGGTGAGGCACAGTCACATATCAGGCCGGGCCCGGCTTGAGCCAGGCACGGCAGCGGTACATGCTCGATTTATACCTCGCCTTTAACCTTCTCCGTTTAAAGTCCCGGGACGATCTTGAAGGAGCTCGATTCCCAAAAAATCCTCCAAGACGGTCCAAAATGGCCTCCAGGATGGCCACGACTGCCCAAGATGGCCTCCAAGATGGTCCAAGATGGCCTCCAAGTCCGCCAAAAACGGTCCAAGATGGCCTCCAAGACGACCCAAGAGGGTCCAAAATACCTCCAAGTTTACACAAGAAGCCTCCAAGACGGCCCAAGACGGCTCAAGAGGTCTCCAAGAGCTCCTCCAGGAGTGCCCGAAGAGGCCAAAATCATTGATTTTCTTTCGGTTTTTGAAGGATTTCGGCATTTGCCTCTTCTCGGCATTCCGACGGCTCAAGACGGCCCAAGAGGCCGCCAAGATCGCCCCAAGATCGCCCACGAGGCCTCCAAGAGGGCCCCATGACGGCCACAGAGGCCGCCAAGACGGCCCCAAGAGGGCCCCAAGAGGCCTCCAAGACGACCACGATAGCCTCCAAGACGGCTAAGATGACCCCAAGAGGCCCCCAAGACGGTCCAAGATTCATCCAAGACGGCCTGAGATGGCCTCAATATTGCCCAAGACGGCCCCGTAGGTTCCCAAGAGGCCTCCAAGACGACCCAAGAGGCCTCTAAGAGGCCAGGAGGGCCCGAAGAGGCCAAAATCATTGATTGTACTGAAGTTGTTGCAAGATTTTGGCATTTGTTTCGTCTCGGCATTCCGACGGCTCAAGACGGCCCAAGAGGCCCTCAAGATCGCCCCAAGATCGCTCACGAGGCCTCCAAGATGGCCCCATGACGGCCCAAGAGGCCGCCAAGACGGCCCCAAAAGGCCCCCAGAGGCCTTCAAGACGGCCAAGGTGGCCTCCAAGACGGCTGAGATGGCCCCAAGATGCCTCCAAGACGGCCCAAAATGCATCGAAGACGGCCTAAGACGGCCCAAGAGGTCCCCAAGAGGCGCCCAAGACGGCCCAAGAGGCCTCCAAGAGGTCGTCCAGGAGGGCCCAAGAGACCAAAATCATTGCTTTTCCGTATGGTTTTGAAGGCTTTTTGCATTTGTTTCTTCTCGACAGCGACGGAGAGACCATACAGGACCTCAAAGTCCACGAACGATCCCTCCAAGACGGACAAGATGGCCTCCAAGATGGTCCCAAGACGCCTCCAAGACGGCCAACGTGGCCGAAGATGGGCTCCAATATGCGTCCAAGATGATCAAGATGGCCCCAAGAAGCCCCAACATAGCCCCCCAAAAATGGCTTCCAAGACAGTCCCAAGATGCCTCCACGACCGCAAAGATGGCCCAATAAAACCCTAGAGTAGCCCAAGAGGCTCCCAAGAGGCTTCCTCCTCCCTTCTCCTTCGTCCCCCCTCTCCTCTCATTCCTCCTCCCCCACCGTGTTCCCCGAACGCTTTCCAAACCGATTCGGGGAACACATGGTCCGATAGCTTGGCAGGCCTCTGGCCACAATGTTCGGCCACATAGGCGTTTCCAAAAAGGCAGTGGGCGGCGGTGACTCGCCGTAGGCGTCTTCGATATATATTTATATATATGTATATATACATACATACATATAAAGATACATACATATATACATGTATACGTCTATACAAATATATGTATATAGGTGTGTATGTGTGTACATGTTTGCGTGCGGGTATGTATGTGTATACGTTTGTAGTGTGTGTGTGTGCATGCGTGTATACATGGCTCATGTAATTGCCTGCATACATACACACGTGCATGCATACGTACATACGTACATGCATACATACACGCATGTACACATACCTGCATGCGCACATGTATCCCTGTATACGTGCATGCATGCATACGTGCATACATTCAACCATGCATGTATACATACATGAGTATATATATGTATATGTGTATATATATGTACATGTATGTATACATCCGTATGTATATATAATTATGTCTATATACATACATACAGTGGTATATGTGAGAGAGCGTGACCCACCGCCGCTTTACTGTGGAAAATTGCCAACCTTTTCCTCCGGAACCCGGGGGTCGCCCTCCCCCCCCCCTCTCCGAAAATCCCCCCCCCCCCCCCCCCCCCTGCTGGAACCCCCCTCCCCTCCCCCCCCCCTCCCCCGGCCAGAACCAAACCCGCACCCCCTCCCCTAACCTCCTCCCCCCCCCCCCCCCCCCCCGCTCGCAAACCGGGGGGGGTCCTACCGGTTTCGAAACCCCTCCCCCTCCCCCCCCCCCCCCCTCGGATACCGGAAAACTCGGGAGGGGTCACTAACTACCGGTTGAACCCCCCCCCCCCCCCTACTCCACCGCCAGCAAACGACTCCCGGTCCCCACCACCGTCCGCATCACATCCCCACTGGTGTTCCCAGCACCACTGTCCTCACCACCGCTGTCCCCACTGGTTCCACCACCGCCCCTACTGTCCCCACCAGTGGCCCCACCACTGTCGCACTGTCCCCGCTGTCCCCAGAACTGTTCCCACCACGGTTCCACTCTCCCCACTGTCTCCACGGCCCCAACCACTGCCCGACTATCCCCACTGCCCCCATGGACCCACTGACTCCTCCGCTGCCCCACTGAGCTGTCCCACTGTTCCCACCGCTGCTGTCCCCACTGTCCCCACCACTGTCCCCACTGCACCTCTGTCCCATTGTCCCACCGCCGTCCTCGCCACCGCCTTCACCACTGTCCCCACCACCATTGTACCCTCCACTGTCCCACTGTTTCCACCTCATTCCCATTGTCCCCACACAACTGTCCCCACCACCACCGTCACCACCACTGTCCACTGTCCCCCCCTGTTCCCACCATTGTCCCCACCACTGTCCCCACCACTACCATCCCCACCGCTGTCCCACTGTCCCACTGTCCCCACCACTGTCCCGCTATCCCCTCACCACTGTCCCCACTCTCCAACACCGTCCCCACCACTGTCCGCACCCCCACTCGGTTTTCGAGGGGGGGGGGGGTTCGAACCGGTAGTGACCCCCCCGGTTTCGGTTTTCGAGGGGGGGGAGGGGGGGAGGGGGGGGGGGGGGGGGGGGGGGGGGCGGGGGGGGTGAGGGGTTCGAACCGGTAGTGACCCCCCCCCTTTTCATGGTGAGCATGGGGGGGGGGGAGGGGTCGAACGCGTAGTGACCCCCCCCGGTTTTCCGGGGGGGGGGGGGGGGGGGGAGGGGTTTCGAACCGTAGTGGGGGGGGACCCCCCTCCCCGGGTTTTCCGGCCAGCAGGGGGGGGGGGGGGGGGGGGGGGGGGGGGGGGGGGCGGTAGAACACGCTCTTTCGTATATGTACACATACATTCACCTGTATACATACGCACACACATACATACATACATACATACGAACAAACACATATATATATATATATATATATATATATATACAGACATGCATGCATGCATACATGCATACAGGCATGTACGCATACATATATGAATGTAGATGTATATATATGTGTGATCGGACATACCTACGTACACCGATATGTATACATAGATGGATTCCATGAGTGCATGTATACATACATATGCCCGTACATACATAGATACATGCATGCATGCACGCATGTACGCATGTTATGCATATCTGCACATGTGCGTATATACAAACATACGTACGTTCATGCATGCATGCGTACATGCTATCTGCGTTACGTATATGCACACGTGTGAGTGTGTAGCGGACGAACGAAAGCCGCTGCAGCAAGAGGCCGTCCCAACTGCAGGGGCGGACGCGCAGCGGCCTCAGCGCTCGGCGCTGGGCGCTGCGCGCACGATCATGCCCCCCTGATCCTTTCTGCCCCGAGTGGGTTAGAGCGGATGCTCTGCCATCTTCACCCCCCACAACCCTCCTGCATAGGGGTTTAGGTAGGCTCCGAGCCCTAGTCACCCCCACCCAAAAAAAAAAACCGTCGGGGGCGGCAGGAAGGCTTCTGGAGGAAAGGAAAGCACCTCCCCAACAAAAACAACACCTCCCCAACAAAAACAGAGTCCCTGTAGGGGGGTCCAAAGGGGGGGGGGGGGGCAGGACGAAGGTGGCTTGCACACCATGGCCCGAGGCGTGTGCGCGGACGAGGGAGGGCAGCCAGAGAACGCCCCGAAAGGGAGAAGGGGGGGCCACGAAATCTGGGAGGCGTCGTGCCCCAGCCCATGAGATCCGCCCACGAACACAGAAAGTCGACCAGGCGCCAGAAAAGTTCCGCCCGCAGTGCTAGGCAAACGATGTTGGGCCAATTCGCGAATCCCAACGAAGCAACTCACTCCCATTGCAATCTGCATGAGAAGATACTTACAAAAGAAGGTCTGCCAGCAGTTGTAGGCAAACGAGTTTGAGCAGATTCGCCAAAACAAAACGAAGCAATTCCCAATGCAATGACCATGAGAAGATCCCTCCTGTGGACGCCCCTGGCTTCTCCCCGCTCCCCGCCGCCCGGGAGAGCCGGGCCAAGTGCTGCAGGCGGGCAGGACACCCGGCGCTGGGAACGGATTGCAGCGCTTGTGGTCGTACGCGCTCACGCCCATGGCGAAGACGAGGTCGCCCTCCGGGAAGTACAGCGCGTGCGCCTGGGTGTACGTGCCCATGGACCCGTCGCGCTGCCACCGGAGGGCGCCCGTCAGCAGGTCCAGGCAGTAGACGGTGCCCTCGAAGTCGCTGAACATGACCGTGCCGTTGCCGTACTGGGGCACGAAGTTCCAGACCGGCGACTGCGGTTTGAAGGACCACGCCACGCTTCCATCTGCGGCAAGCAGGCCCCAGATCATTTGATTTCCCGGGACAAGCGGATTGGTTTGATTGCGGTACTTGTAGCAGTATCTGTCGGTGCAGCGCTTGGCAGCCGCCACTACTATGCCGTCCTTGCCAGAGACAGAGCCCTTCACCCCAGCGATCTGGTCAGAAGCCTGGACTGCCCAGATTTCTTCGCCGCTCTCGAGCGACAGAGCGAACACGTAGCCAGACGTGGTCGACCCCACCAGCATCTCCGGGAGGGTGGCCTGCTTCCCCTCCCTTTTGACACGCAAGAACCTCTTGCCCAGAACGGAGAAGCCCGCGACGCTCTGGTGCTGTGTTCGCGGCCAGCGAATCATGGCCTTATGCTCGCCACCTGTACCCTGGATGACCTGTGTGACCTCGCCCACGTCTCCACTCCTGTAGTACTCCTTGCCGTTTGCATGGTATCCGACCCCTGGCCGCACCACCAGGCGGTCGCCAACCCTGACCTGCCCGAGCGCTTTGGGCCCGCCATGGCCATCGTCGTCCTGAAGGGGGCCGAAGCTCACCGCTGCCATCACCGCCACCACCGAAGCGAGGCACGGCGGAACAGACCAAGCGACGGGCCGACGGTCATGGCGAAAAAGACGCCGTTGGCCGCCAGGCTGGAGATCGCTGACAAGGGCGGTGGCGACGGTGGCAGGAAGAGAGAGAGAGAGAGAGAGAGAGAGAGAGTGAGAGAGTGAGAGAGTGAGAGATCGCAGCAGCTCAGCGGGCCGAGGTCTGTCCAGGCGCGAGGGGGCGCAGGCGCCCGAGGCGCCCACCTCTTTGGCGGGAGGGGCCGCCTGCTGCTGACAGGGGTGGCAAACCATCCTGGCGGAGGACCGTACCATATGCACTTGTGAGTGCCGCGTTGTGGGCACCGCTCTCGGTGGAGCTCCCTTCGACGCCACGACCCTCGTGAGGGGCGTGCCGACATGGGCGGGGGGGCGCATGGGGACCCCGCCGCGGGGGCCTTGGGTGGAGCTCCCTGTGGGGCCACGACCCTCGTGAGGGGCGGTGCCGAAATGAGCGGGGGGACTCATGCGGACCCTGCCGCTGAAGCCTTCGGTGGGGCTCCCTACGGGGCCACGATCCTCGCGAGGGGAGTGCCGAAATGAGCGGGGGGGGGCGCATGCGGACCCTGCCGCGGGCTGCCGTCCAGGCTTGCGCTTCCCATAATTCAACCATTTGAGAATGGCAAATGATGGGACATGCAGCCCCGGACGACTGCCCCAAGGACACATTGCGCGGGAAACGCGTTTCCCAGAATTCAAATCATGAGAACGCACTTTTCTTTGAAAAAACGCCCTCGATGGGCTGGAATTGCGTTTCCGATAATTCGAACTCCGAGTTTCGGGAAACGCGGTTTCCCAGAATTCGAATTCCGAATTATGGGAAACGCGAATTCCAGCTCATTGAATATGGCTATTCAGAGAAATCGCGTTTCCCGAAATTCGAAAGTATGGCAACGCAGTTCCGGCCCATTCAGTGCGGCTGTTCAAAGGAAACTACGTTCCCTATAATTCAAAAATCGAATTCTGGGAAAACGCGTTTCCCGAAATTCGGAATTCGAATTATGGGAAACGCAAATTCCTTTATGGGCCGGGATTGCGTTTCCCATAGCTCCGAGTTATGGGAAACGCAATTTCCTTTGAAAAACCGCACCCTGCGGGCTGGAATTGCGTTTCCCATAGTTCGGAATTCGAATCCTGGGAAACTGCGTTTCCCGAAATTCGGATTCGAATTATGGGAAACGCAATGTCCTTTGAAAAACCGCACTCCATGCGCTGGACTTGCGCTTCCCAGAATTCGGACTCCGAATTTTGGGAAACAGGCTTCCCAGAAGTCGAATTCCGAATTATGGGAAACACACTATCCCTTGAAAAAGCCGCAGGCAATTGCCGGAATTGCGTTTCCCAGAATTCCGAATTCTGGGAAACGCAGTTTCCCTTGAACAAACGCACTCATTAAGCTGGAATTGCGCATCCCAGAATTCGAATTCGAATTCCGAATTTAAGGAAACGCGGTTTCTCAGAATTCGAGTTCCGAAATGTGGGAAACGCAATTTCCCTTGAAAAACCGAACTCGATGGGCTGGAATCGCGTTTCCCCTAATTCCGAATCATGGGAAATGCAATTTCCCGTAACAAAAAACCGAACTCATTAGGCTGGAATTCCGTTTCCCATAGCTCGGAATTCGAATCCTGCAAAACTGCTTTTCCCGAAATCCAGAATTCGAATTATGAGAAACGCGATTTTCCTTGAAAAACCGCACTCAATGGGCTGGAATTGCGTGTCCCATAATTCGAATCATGGGAAATGCAATTTCGTTTGAAAAACCGCACTCACTCAATGGGCTGGAATTACGTTCCCCATAATTCGGAATTCGCGAATTCTGGGAAACTGCGTTTCCCGAAATTCGGACTTCGAATTCTGGGAAACGCAATTTCCCATTGAAAAAACCTCACTCAATAGGCCGGAATTGCGCTTCCCCATAAGTCGAGCCCCGAATTTCGGGAAACGCGGCTTCCCAGAATTCAAATTCCGAATTGTGGGAACCGCAATTTCTTTTAAAAAACGCACTCACTGGGCCAGAACTGCGTTTCCCATATTTCCGATTTGCGGGAACGCGCAATTTGCCTTGAAAAACAGCACTCATTGGGCTGGAATTGCGTTTCCCAAAATTCGAATTCCGGATTTCGGGAAACGCGGCTTCCCAGAATTCGAATTCCGAATTATGGGAAACCCACTTCCCTTTGAAAAACCGCAGGCAATGGGCCGGGATTGCGTTTGCCATAATTCCGACTTATGGGACACGCAACTTCCCTTGAAAAAACGCATCGAATGGGCTGGAATCACGTTCCCCATAATTCTGACTTTGAATTCTGGGAAATTGCGACTCCCGAATTTCGAAATTCGAATTATGGGAAACGCAATTTCCTTCGAAAAACCTCATGGGCCGGAATTGCGTTTCCCATGAATCGAACCCCGAATTTCGGGACACGCGGTTTCCCAGAACTCGAATTCCGAATTATGGGAAACGCAATTTCCCCTGAAAAACCGCAGTCAATGGGCCAGAATTGCGTTTCCCATAATTCCGAATTATGGGAAACGCATTTTCCTAAAATATACCAAATACGCTGGAATTGCGTTTCCCATAATTCGGAATTCGAATTCAGGAAAACCGCGCTTCCCGAAATTTGGAATTCGAGTTGTGGGAAACGCAATTTCCTTTCAAAAACCGCCTGGACGTGCTTTTCCCAATTCGAATTCCGAATTTCGGGAAGCGCTGTTTCCCAAAATTCGAATTCCGAATTATGGGAAACGCAATTAATTTCTTTTGAAAACCGCACTGAATAGGCCGGAATTGCCTTTTCCCATAAATCCGAATTATGTGAAACGCACTTTTCCTAAAGAAACTGTATCCACTGGGCAGCAATGCCGTTTCCCATAATTCGGAATTTGAAATTATGAAAAACAAATGCAAAAACCGGTCCACTGGGCTGGAATTGCGTTTCCCAAAATTCGAATTCCGGATTTCGCGACACGCGGCTTCCCAGAATTCGAATTCCGAATTATGGGAAACACGCTTTCCCTTGAAAAACCGCAGGCAATGGGCCGGAATTGCGTTTCCCACAATTCCGAATTATGGGAAACGCAATCTCCTTTGAAAAACCCACTCAATGGGCCAGAATTGTGTTTCCCATATTCGGAATTCGAATTCTGGGAAACTGCGTTTCCCGAAATTCTGAATCTGAATTAAGGGGAACGCAATTTCCTTTGAAAAAACCTCACTCAATGGGCTGGAATTGCGTTTCCCAAACTTCGAATTCCGAATTTCGGGAAACGCGGTTGCCCAAAAGTCGAATTCCGAATTATGGGAAACGCAGTTTCCTTTGAAGAACCGCAGACGATGGGCCAGAAATGCCGTTCCCATAGTTCGAATTATAGGAAACGCAATTTCGTTTGAAAAACCGCACACGATGGGCTGGAATTGCGTTTCCCATAATTCGGAATTCGAATTCTGGGAAACTGCGTTTCCCGGAATTCGAATGCCGATTTACGAGAAACGGAATCCCCCTTTGAGAAACCGCACTCCACGGGCCGGAATTGCGTTTCCCATAGCTCCGAATTATGGGAGACGCAATTTCCCTTGGAAAACCGCACTCCATGGGCTGGATCGTGCGCACGTGGATCGGGAAAACCTGGTCAAGAACGGGAGCTCCAACCCTCGCCCTCCACCTTCCGCACCTTCCGCGCGGCAGGTTCCACGCCGCGGCGGCCGCCGCCGCCGCCGAAACCGCCGCTGCGGCCTCGGCGGAAGCCGCAATGGCGGCCGCGGCGGTGGCCGCCGCGGCGTGGAACCTGCCGCGCGGAAAGTGCGGAAGGCGGAGGGCGAGGGAAGAAGATAGCGGGAGCTCCAAGAAGGTAGCTCCCGTGATGGACTCGTCGAAAAGGCAGCGCACGGCACGGCGCCGTGGCGGCGGCCGCGCTCCCGAGGCACGGCACGCCGGGCAGCGGCAACAGCAGGCCGCGCGGTGGCCACCGCTCGGCGCGAGGCCGGAGCGGCGGGGCAGAACGCGGCGGTGCGGGACGGGGCGGCGCGATCTGGAGAGGGGGGGACCGAGACATCGGGCGTCTCGAAAAAATCGAGACGGAGGTTTGTCATAGTTTTCGGCCCCTCGGGGCCCTCCTCGCCTTGGCCTCGGGGCCGTCAACAAAAACGGCTCGGGATGAGAAACCGGCCCCAGGGAGGTGGTCGGGAGGTCCGGGGCCCGCGTCTCGAAAAAATCGAGACGTTGGATGTCTGGGTATGGAGGGGGGGGGGGGGGGGGGACACAAATAAATACACACAAATAAAATGGTTCCCCCTATTTTCCCATATTTGGGGGGATTGTCGTCTTCCCCCCCCCCACACTTCCCATATTTTCCCACACTTTGGGGGGAGGTCGACGATGAAGTGTGCCTGTGTGCTTGTTCCCCTCCCGAGACATGGAGGGGGGGCCCAGACCCCCGACGTAATGATTTTTTCATTACGTCGACCCCCAGAGGTCCCGACCCGTTCCCCATGACCGGCTTGGCATCCTGAGTCGCTTTTTGACGCTCCCGAGGCCCGGTGAGGGCCCCCAGAGGCCGAAAAGTAGGAAAAACCTCCCGTCGTGATTTTTTTCATTACTCGAGGAGGTCTGGGGGGGCAGATTGGCTGCGCCCTGGGATCAGGCGCACATGTCCCGCCTGCCCGTGCGCATCCGGGAGGGCCGCCGGGGGGGAGCTGCGGCCGTGGCCGCGCCCTGTCCTCGAGGGGCTCAGGCCCAGGCCAGATCGCGGGAGGGAGACGGGGAGGGGGAGGAGGAGGAGGAGGAGGAGGAGGAGGAGGAGGACGGAGGAGGAGGAGGAGGCGGAGGTGGAGAGGCGGAGGAGGAGGAGGAGGAGAGAGAGGAGGAGGAGGAAGGCGGAGAGGAGGGAGGCGTGAGGAGGAGGAGGAGGAGGAGCGGGAGGAGGAGGATGGGGAGGTGGAGGAGGCGGAAGGAGGAGGATGGAGGCTGAGGGAGGAGGAGGACGGAGGTGGAGAGGAGGAGGAGGAGGAGCGACCATTCGGACAGCAGGTGCGTCCAGGCCCCGAGCGCCCCGCAGGCCTCCCCCCTCAAGGCGGGAGGCGCCGCTTGCGACGTCGGGGTGGTGGGGTGGCCTCCCCCCTGGGGCGGTCTGCGGGGACCACGACGGGCAGTCAGAGCGGGCATGCGGTGACCGGGCCGCCCAAGGGCCCGTCTGCGCACCCGCCTCGAGAAAGGAGAGGAGGCGGAGGGAGAGGGCAAGGGGGCAAGGTGAGTGAGGGGGGGGAGGAAGAGAGGGAGAGGAGGAGGAGGAGGAGGAGGAGGAGGAGGAGGAGGAGGAGGAGGAGGAGGAGGAGGAGGGGAGGTGGAGGAGGAGGAGGAGGAGGAGGAGGCGGAAGTGGACGACGAAGGGGTACCATTCGCCGTGGTCGGGGCCGTGATCGGCGGTCGCGGCGGTCGTCGTTCCTGGCCCGTCGAGTCCTCGAACACCGGACGGAGCTCCGTCTCCGTCTTCGCGCCGGGGTTGAGCTCGTCCTTTGAGCGTGGGTTCCCCAGGGATGGCGCTCCGGGGGGGAGGTGAAGCGGAGCCAGGAAGAACACGTGCGCTGCGCAAGGGGGCAGGGGGGTAGCCCCCAAAAACCATCACCGCCATCTCGTACGTCCCCCCGCTCTCCCATCGCTCTGCCTCCCCATCCCCCCTCTGGCCCCCGCCCTCCCCTCCGCGGTCGCTGATCCTCAAGCTGGGCATAGTCTCTGAGGCGATTGTGGTTGGCCTTCTCCTCCTCCTCATCTCCTCCTCCTCCTCCTCCTCCTCCTCCTCCTCCTCCTCCTCCCCCTCCTCCCCCTCCTCCTCCTCCTACTCCTCCTCCTCCTCCTGCTCCTCCTCCTGCTCCTGCTCTCATCATCCTCCTGCTCGGCTCCACCTGATGCCAAAACTTCCGCCCAAGCCTCTTCGCCTCCTCGGCCTCCTGCTTCATGAAGCACAGCCAGAGAGCAACGGAGGGGAGATGAGGCCGCAGCCCGTAAGGAGAGACTGCCACATGATCCACAGACTGGGTCACGAACTGTGCGGTCGCTGCCGGCGTGATGACGAAGCTACCCGTGGCAATTTTTGCCCAGGCGAGCTGCCCGTGACAATTATCCCTGAGATCCGACGTCGCGAAAAATTGCAACATCGTAAAGGATGACGACAGGAGCCCTAGTTCCCATCTTTCTGCGTCATATTTCCAGCCGGATCGATCTGTGAGGGTCCCGAGGCCCGAAAAGAAGCCAAGACGACCAGCTTCCAAAAATTGAGACGCCAGGCTCTCAGGGATTATTGCCTGGGCGAGATGCCCGTGACAAGTAATGGCCCTCTGCCGAGTTCTTCCCTCCCAGACATGCGACGTCCCGATTTCTTCAGGACGGCGTCCCCGGAAGCCCCGACCCTCTCCCCGGGGCCGGCTCGTCATCCCGAGTCGTTGCTTCACGGCCCCGGGGCCCGGCGAGGGCCCCCAGGGGCCGGAGACAGCGAAAAACCGCCGCCCCGATTTGTTTTTTTTTTTACGACGCGGTCCTGTCTGGGCTCGGGTCGCGTCGCCCCCGAGGGCGCCCGACGCAGCCCGAGGGCCCCTCCCGAGGGGCGCGGGCGGGCCGGGAGGCCCCGCCGCACGCCCGGGGGGCGCCCGGCGCGCCGCCCGAGGCGCGCCGGGCGCCCTCCGAGGAGCGCCGGCGCCCGGCCGCCGGCCCCGAGGCGGAGGCGCCGAGGCGGAGGCGCGCGGAGGCGCCTCCGGCCTCGGTGCGCCGCGAGGCGCCACCGAGGGCGCACCGAGGCGGGGTCGCCCACCGCGGCTCCGGGCGCCGGGGGCCGTCAACGGCGCCGCGGCGGCGCCGCCGGGGGCGCCTCTGAGGCGCGGCGGAGGGCGCCCGCGGAGGGCGCCGCGGGAGGCGCCCCGAGGCGGAGGCGCCGGGGCCCGCGCGCCCTCGTCGCTTCCGCGTCCCCGTCGCGGCCCCAGACGTGCTCGCGCCGCAAAAAAAAAGAAAAAAAGATGCGGGGCGGGAGGTCTCGCGCCGTCTCCGGCCTCTCGAGGCCCTCGCCGGGCCCCGGGGCCGTCAAAGAGAAGCGGGGCTCGGAATGACAACCGGCCCCGGGGAGGAGGGGGGAGGGGGAGGGGGAAGGAGGAGGGAGGAGGAGGGGGAGGAGGAGGAGGAGGAGGAGGAGGAGGAGGAGGAGGAGGATGAGGTGAGGAGAGGAGGGGAGGAGGTAGGAGGAGGAGGAGGAGGAGGAGGAGGAGGAGGAGGAGGAGGCGGAGGAGGAGGAGGAGGAGGAGGAGTAGGAGAGAGCGAGGAAGGAGGAGGAGGTGGAGGAGGGATGCAGGAGCAGGAGGGAGGAGGAGAGGAGGAGGAAACAGGAGGAGGAGGAAGGAGGAGGGAGGAGGAGGAGGGGAAGGAGGAGGAGGAGGAGGAGGGGGAGGGGAGGAGGGGAGGAGGAGGAGGAGGAGGAGGATGAGGAGGAGGTGGAGGAGGAAAGGAGGTGGAGGAGGCAGGAGGGAGGAGGATGAGGGCGGAGGAGGAGGGAGGAGGAGGAGGGAGGAGGAGGAGGGAGGAGGAGGAGGGAAGAGGAGGGAGGGGGAGAGAGGAGTAAGAGGGAGGAGGGGAGGAGTGAGGAGGAGGGAGGAGGAGGGAGGGGAAGGGAGGAGGAGGAGGAGGAGGAGGAGGAGGAGGAGGAGGAGGAGGAGGAGGAGGAGGAGGAGGAGGAGGAGGAGGAGGAGGCCTGGGGCGCTGGCGGCGTGGAGGCGACGCGGCACGGGCGCGTGGAGGCTCGGCCTCGCGCTCCCCTCTCGGGCCGCACGGCAGAGCAGGAGAGGGACAGAGGCGGGGGGGGGCGGAGGCTGCTGCGTGCAGCTGGGTTCCGCCCCGCCGCCGGGCCCATTCCTCCATGTACATGGGCGCCTCCCGGCGCCAGGAGGCGCCAGGAAGACCAGCTGCGCGAGCTGATTATCTGGGGCGCCAGATCCGCCCTGCATTGGCTTGTTTGTTCCCACTCGAAATTGCGTCGGAAGTGCGCCGTAGCGAGTAGAAAGGTACGTCGAGCGAGTCACAGGCCCTTGTCAGTAGGTCTTAGCCGGCATGATGGCAACGGAGTGCATATCTTTAGGGAGACGTACTGGCCATGCATGCTTTTCTCTGCGGGCACACGCAGGCAGAGCGTGAGCAAGAGAGATCACGGTTCTTTTTGCTAGGCAGATGTGCAGGCCTCTTGGAAGACGCACGCGAGCTTGTATGTTGCAACTGCCCTGCGTCCAAGATCACCCCCTGATCATCATCCGGATCCCGCCTTTCCACTCCCATTCCCCTCCCCACCCCTGTTCCCTCCCTTCTCTCCTGACACCTGCCTGACTCCAGACCCGCCCTACTTTGGCGTTTTGTCCAACTGAAAATTGCGTCGGAAATCCACCTGTAAGAAGCCGAAAAAGTAGGGCGGACATTTCTGCACCCAAGACAAAGTGGGGCGGAAGTCCGCAGAAGGAGGGCGGAAACAGCAACAGAAAAGTAGGGCGGAAATTGGCATCAGCGGGGCTTGCAAAGTAAGGCGGAAATTCCAAGCCCTCCTAACGAATTTCCCAAAAGTAGGGCGGATCCGGAGTCAGGGGGGGGCGGCCAGGAGCCGCCCTGCGCGGGACCACGTGGAGGAGGCCCAGACATGCTCGCGTCGTAAAAAAAATCAGGGCGGGAGGAGGAGGAGGAGGAGGAGGAGGAGGAGGGAGGAGGAGGAGGAGGAGGAGGAGGAGGAGGAGGAGGAGGGGAAGGAGGAGGAGGAGGAGGAGGAGGAGGAGTGAGGAGGAGGAGGAGGAGGAGGAGGAGGAGGAGGAGGAGGAGGAGGAGTCGCTTTCGGCCCCTCGAGGCAGAAGACGACTCGGGAGGACGAGCCGGCCCCGGGGAAAGGGCCGGGGCTTCCGGGGACGCCGTGCCGAAAAAGAAGTCGGGACGGCGCAGGCCTGGGGGGCGAAGCCGGACCCAGACATCCAACGTCTCGATTTTTCGAAGAGGAGGAGGAGGAGGAGGAGGAGGAGGAGGAGGAGGAGGAGGAGGAGGAGGAGGAGGAGGGGGAGGAGGGGTGGGAGGAGGAGGAGGAGGAGGAGGAGGAGGGGAGGAGGAGGAGGAGGAGGAGGAGGAGGTGGAGGAGGAGGAGGGGAGGAGGAGGAGGAGGAGGAGGAGCAGCTGCTGGGCTCCCCAAACATCCGACGTCTCGATTTTTCGAGACGCGGGCCCCCGACCTCCCGACCACTTCCCCGGGGCCGGTTCTTCCTCCCGAGCCGTTTCTGTGGACGGCCCCGAGGCCCGGCGAGGGCCCCGAGGGGCCAAAAACTATATGAAAAACCTCCGCCTCGATTTTTTTCCGAGACGCCCGCTGTCTGGGTCTCAGTCCCCCCTCACGCACGCCCTCCGGGCCAGCGCGCGGCCCAGAGCCCCCGTCTGGGCGGCCCGGCGGGGCCTCTTCCGAGAGAGGCGCCGCTCCCTCCGAGGAGCCGCCCAGAGGTCTCCCGGCGCTCGCCGAAGGCCCGCGCTTCCCCAGAGAGAGCCCCAGGAAGAGCCAAACCCCTCTGCTGGGAGATGGTTATTCCTGGAGGTTGCCCGAGATCCTGGCGCTGCTGCTTTTTTCGCAACGGGCGCGTTCGCTCCATTCCGGGCCCCCGAGACCCTCACAGATCGACCCGGCTCGGAAAATGACGCAGAGAGATGGGGTCCCGGGCTCCGGGCGTGATCTTTTGCGATGTCCCATGTTTGTTGCACTGCCGGATCTCAGGACGCCCCTGTGCTGGGAGATGGTGATTCCTGGAGGTCCCCCCCCCTTGGCATCCCCAGTTTCTCACGACGTGGACCCCAAGATGCTGCATGTTCGTTGCACTGCCGGACCTCAGGGCGCCCCTGTGCTGGGAGATGGTGATTCCTGGAGGTCCCCCCCCCCTGGCATCCCCAGTTTCTCACGACGTGGACCCCAAGATGTTGCATGTTCGTCGCACTGCCGGACCTCAGGGCACCCCTGTGCTGGGAGATGGTGATTCCTGGAGGTCCCCCCCCTGGCATCCCCAGTTTCTCACGACGTGGACCCCAAGATGCTGCATGTTCGTTGCACTGCCGGACCTCAGGGCACCCTGTGTGGAGATGGTGATGCCCTGGAGGTCCCCCCCCTGGCATCCAGGTTCCACGACACCCCAAGATGTTTGCATGTTCGGTCGCACTGCCGTCCTCAGGCACCCCTGTGCTGGGATGGTCTGGAGGTCCCCCCTGGATCCCCATAGTTCTCAGACGTGACCCCAAGATGCTGCATGTTCGTAGCACTGCCGGACCTCAGGCACCCTGTGCTCTGGAGGTCCCCCCCCCTGGCATCCCCAGTTTCTCACGACGTGGACCCCAAGATGTTGCATGTTCGTCGCACTGCCGGACCTCAGGGCACCCCTGTTGCTGGGAGATGGTGATTCCTGGAGGTCCCCCCCGGCATCCCCAGTTCTCACGACGTGGGACCCCAAGATGCTGCATGTTCGTCGCACTGCCGGTCCTCAGGGCACCCCTGTGCTGGGAGATGGTGATTCCTGGAGGTCCCCCCCCCCTGGCATCCCCAGTTTCTCACGACGTGGACCCCAAGATGCTGATTGTTCGTCGCACTGCCGGACCTCAGGGCACCCCTGTGCTGGGAGATGGTGATTCCTGGAGGTCCCCCCCCCTGGCATCCCCAGTTTCTCACGACGTGGGCCCCAAGATGCTGCATGTTCGTTGCACTGCCGGACCTCAGGGCGCCCCTGTGCTGGGAGATGATGATTCCTGGAGGTCCACCCCCCCTGGCATCCCCAGTTTCTCACGACGTGGACCCCAAGATGCTGCATGTTCGTTGCACTGCCGGACCTCAGGGCGCCCCTGTGCTGGGAGATGGTGATTCCTGGAGGCCCCCCCCCCTGGCATCCCCAGTTTCTCACGACGTGGGCCCCAAGAGGCCTGGGACCCTGGAAGCCGAGCACGGCCAGAAGCCCTCCGCCGCGCCCTCCCCTGCGAAGTGGCGTGGGGCCCTGGCCAAGCCCGCAGCCCTGGCACGCGCCACTGCGCTGCCCGGGGCTTGCGCTGCTCCCGTCGTGCTTGAGGACCACATCCCAGAAATCATCCCAAGCACCCGGAAGAGTGTCGAGAGAGGGTCGAAACAGTGTCGAAACAGTGTCGGGCGAGCGTCTCCCAGGGCCTGACACGTGACAACCCGCAGGTTTCGGTACCTTTCTGGTGCTCGAAATTCTTCCTGGTGATCAAGGCTCAAGTAGGTTGGAACATCATAACCCTGGGCTCTTTTCCGTCGGCGCGCACCTCTGTCATCTTGTCCAGGGCGACGTCGTCCCACCCCGGGACGGCCACCCGGCCGCCAGAGACCTGGAGCAAGGGAAGGGAGGGAGGGGGGCTGAAAAAGGGGAGGCGCGGGGGGGAGAGAGGAGGAGGGGGAGGGGGAGGAGGAGGAGGAGGAGGAGGAGGAGGAGGAGGAGGAGGAGGAGGAGGAGGAGGAGGAGGAGGAGGAGGAGGAGGGGAGGAGGAGCAGGAGGAGGAGGAGGGGAGGAGGAGGAACAGGAGGAGGAGGAGGACGGCGGAGAGGAGGAGGAGGGGGGAGAACAGGATGAGGAGAGGAGGAGGGGAACAGGAGGAGGAGGAGGAGGAGGAGGAGGAGGAGGAGGAGGAGGGGGCGGAGGAGGAGGCGGAGGAGGAGGAGGCGGAGGAGGAGGAGTAAGAGGAGGAGGAGAAGGAGGAGGAGGAGGAGGACTTCACCTAGCACTCTGCACTGCCACCGCCGACCAACACTACCTCCGCAAAGCATCAGACCACCTCGATCTCAAGACCTGCAAACACGACAGCGAATCCGCGCCACGGCGAGAGACAGAGGAAAGCATGATGGCCGCTGAAATGCAAAGTCGATGGTCCCATGCGTCTTACTGCACAATTGTGCAGCAGGCGGTGGAGCGGCGAGGAAGAGGAGGAGAGAGAAACGCAACAAGGGGAGGCGAAGAGGGAGAGGACCAACAAGAAAACGAGACGGCCTCTAAAGCGGCGTGCGTACAGCGCCATGGACTCTTCCACCCCCTCGCACACGAATTATGCAAAATGAATTGCGATAGAAACGCATGGCAGCAGCAGGGACCGCGCCCGAATCGCACTCAGAGCGACAAAAAGAGAAAGCGCAGGACAGAGCAGATAAGAAAAAAAGAAAGAACAAGGGAGACAAAGAGAGGAGAACGCGATCACAGCCTCCAGGCTCCCACATGCACGTGATCAGATGGAGTACAAAGGCAGGCCTCCAGCGCTGAATGTTGTCGCCTGTGCAAGAGGTGCACCGACGTGTTTTCTGTTCTGGTCGTGAGCGCGATGGCGCCCTGGGATGGCCTGGACGCCCTTGGGGCGGCGGAAAGACCGAGCCCGCGGCCTGAGCACGGGGGCGGGGTCGGAAGACCGCGGCCGCGAGGAGGCCAGCTGGACACGCAGGAGGAGGAGGAGGAGGAGGAGGAGGAGGAGGGGGAGGAGGAGGAGGAGGGGGAGGAGGAGGAGGAGGAGGAGGAGGAGGAGGAGGAGGAGGAGGAGGGGGAGGAGGAGGAGGAGGAGGAGGAGAAGGGGAGGAGGGAGGAGGAGGAGGAGGAGGGAGGAGGGGAGAGAGGGGGAGGAGGAGGAGGAGACCACTGCAGAACACTTCGGCGGCCGACCGACGCTACGAGGCAGAGCAGGCGGTGCAGCAGTTCCTGGCAGCGACCACGACACCATTGGCCCACCAACTCAAGCAGGACAGCGCCGACCACACAGCAGCACAGTCCAACAGCTTCCAGTGCTTCCACGACGTGCACGAACACGGAGCAGCATGGCAACAGGCAAAGGGCTGCACTGCGATACGGACCAGCCACCAGGAAAAGAGCTGCCAGAACACAAGCCGTGCCATTCTTAACGGACGCAACAGGAAGGTGCTGGAAACCGACGAACAACCAGGTGACGAGTGTATAAGACACTGTCCACGACAAGAACAAGTCACGCTCACGGACAGCGACTGCATACTCCTGCAATATAATAGCACTTTCAACAGACCAATTAAAACAGCTACACTACATTGCGTGATCTCACGACTCAAGGCAACGACGCTCATAAAGAACTTTAAGCGGCGCAAACAACCAGGACTTGACAGGATCACAACTGACTTACTCAAAGCAGCACCAGCGAACACTGCAAAACATGTACACCCACTACTTCTCAGAGCCTCACTCACCCAACAAGAACCCATGTTAAGGAACCACGGTACGGCCATACCGCTACACAAAGGCCAAAGTACAGCAAACAAAACTGCTCAATACCGATCAGTACTACTCGCATCTGAGATCCCCAAAATACAATACACGTACCTCCGACTGAGCCTTACAGCACGACTGACAAAAAAAAAAAAACTACCGACGCAATGTGGATAATTTCGGAACTTCCAAGCAAATCGACATCCTGCGCAGCACACACGGCCACACCCGTCACCAGCTACAACCAAACAAACTACATCAGCCCATACGAGACTACATCTGCTTCACAGCAGCCCTCCACACAGTCGTTACAGAGACAATGTTCGGCCACGAAGCACAACCCGACCAGGAAAAATACTAGCCGGCCGCTCTGCGGTTAATCGGGACCTTCTGTAGCGCTATTCAACGAAAGAAAAATGATCGACATGAGAATGAGCGCGAGGATCAGAAGGGCAAGGCCCGCGAGGGGAAGGATCAGGGAGTGGGGGTCACGGGGGCGAGGATCAGGCGAGCGTGGAGAAGGAGGGTGAGGATGTGGAGAAGGAGGGCCAGGAGAGAAGGGATGGCGAGAATGAAAATCACAAGGATAAGGATCGGGCGGGCGTAGCGCCCCCCGCTGCCATGCTGGCAATATCCACCTCCTCCTCCTCCTCCTCCTCCTCCTCCTCCTCCTCCTCCTCCTCCTCCTCCTCCTCCTCCTCCTCCTCCTCCTCTGCCTCCTCCAACTCGACTCGCCCTGCTCCACCTCGTCCTCCTCCTCCTTCTCCTCCTTTTCCTTTTCATCCTTCTCCCCCCCCCACCCGGGATTTCCCGGACGTCGCCTGAAATGGAACAGGGGGGCCTCTGAGGGCCCCCTTGGGGAAGCTCAGGGGGCCGGTTTTTCTGAGGATGTCCCACGCGAGGGCGCTGGTGTGGAATTCTTTGCCAGATTTCCTTGGTCTCGCCAGATTTCCCGAGTCTTGCCGGAAACGAGGGCCTCCTTGGAGAGGGTCCAACGGGTGGTTTTTTGGGGGATGTCCCGCACGAGGGCGCCAATACTTTGGAATTCGTCGCCGGATTCACCGGATTTCCTGGACCTTGCCGGAAACGCAAGAGGAGGATCTCTGAGAGCCTCTTTGGGAAGTCTCCAAGGACCGGATCTGTAGAGGATGTCCCAAGCGAGGGCGCCAGCAGTTTGGAATTCATCGCCTGATTCGCTGGATTTCCTGGATCTCGCCTGACGCGAAACAGGGAGGCGGCCTCCTTGGGGAAGCTCCAGAGGCGGTTTCTCTAAGGATGTCCACGCGGGGGCGCCTGTTCGGACTTCGTCGCGGGATTCGTCGGATGTCGGGTGTCGCCTGAAACGGAACAGGGAGGCCTCTGAGGGCCTCCTTGGGGAGGCTTTGGCGCGGTTTTTGTGAGGATGCCCCACGCGAGGGCGCCGGTGTGGAATTCGTCGCTGGATTCCCCGGACGTCGCCGGACTCGCCGGATTTCCCGACGTCGCCTTCGAAACAGGGGAGCGCCTCACGCCAGGGCGCCTTCGGAATTCGTCGTCGGATCCGCCAGATTCGCCAGATTCCCCAGATGTCGCCTGGAACCGACCAGGGGGGGCCTCCTTGGGACGCTCCCGGGGCAGTTTTCCTGAGGATGTCCCACGCGAAGACGCCGCTTTGAAATTCGTCACTGGATTCGCCAGATTTCCCCGATGCCGCCTGCAACGGAACAGTGAGGCCTCTCAGGGCCTCCCTGGGAAGGCTCCAGGGGCGGGCGAAGGCGCCGGTTTGGAATTCCTCGCCAGATTCGCCAGATTCGCCCGATTTCCCGGACGTCGCCTGAAACGGAACAGAAGGGACCCCTGAGGGCCTTCTTGGAACGGCTCCGGGGGTTGTTTCTTTGTTTGGGAATGTCCCACGCGAGGGCGCCGGTTTGGAATTCGTCGCCGGATCCCCAGGACGTCGCTGGATTTCAAGGATGTCGCCTGAAACGGAACAGGAGGGCCTGCTAGGGCCTCCTTAGGAGGCTCTGGAGGCAAGTCGGCCCAGTGCAAAGCTCGGGTGGAAGATAAGAAACATGCACCGTCAGAGCTACACTTCGTCAAGCCAACGACGCCGCGGCCGGCGCACATGCAGTAGGGGACCATTCGTGCGCTAGTTTAGGCAGCGACGGAACGCGGTGGGACATCAGACGACTCAGCCAAGTCTCTTCGCGCTTCGATACAACCGAACACCTATCTACCATGAAGTGCAGGCGCCTGGAAGATACTAGCCTCTGCTTCATTCTGCGGCCAGCATCTCCCCACGAATCGCTATCCTCGAACACTCAGCCGACGACTCGCCGGAGCATTTTCCTCTGCGCGATGTCTAGATGGCCCAGCTGCTTCTGATCCGACGCACAAGTTTCTAGCCCCTACATCACTATAGTCGCGGCGGTCGCGTTGGAGAGCTTCAACCGCTGCTTGACGTTGACGCGCCTATTCGTCAGCGAAGTTTGCAGAGAACGGAATTCCCAACCATGCACAGCAGACGCGAGGGTCGATAGCAGCCTGTCAGAATTGCCGGAGGTTGCCCGGCCACGCCCCCCCCCCGAAGCATTCGCGGGTTCTGCCAGCAGCCACGGGCTCCACAAACCCATCGGCAGTTTCGATCAGAACAGCGTCATTCTCCGTGACCGTCGTCGACAACATCTTCGTTTTCTTCACGTTGAGCTCCAGACCATAATTGCGAAGCGTCTGCGCGAGCGTGTCTACCATGTCTACGCGCAGGCGTCGGTTTGAAATTCGCCCCCCGGTTCGCCGGGTTAACCGGATTTCCCAGACGTCGCCTGAAACAAAACAGGGGGGCCTCTAGAGGGCCTCCTTGGAGAGGCTCCAGGTGCGGTTTTTCTGGGGATGTCTCCAACGCGAGGGCGCCGGTTTGGAATTCGTTGCAGGATTCCCTGGGTTCCCCAGATTCGCCAAATTTCCCGGGCGCCACCTGAAACGGAACAGCGGAGCCTCCGATGGGCCTCCTCAGGGAAACTCCAGGGTGGGTTTTTTACCTAACAGCGAAGACTGATAGGTTTCTAGTGGGGTCAAAAGAGAGCATCATGACTCCCCAGGGGGGTCTGGGCAGGATCCGGACGGGTGCCGCGGGAATCCG